CAATTACTCAATAATTTTATATTTAAACATTAATTGGAAAACACTGCAGATAAAATATGACAACAGGTGCTTAATAAGGTTCACTTTATTAAGCTACAAAAAATCTATATTAAAAGATAATGAACAATTTATTATCTTTACAATTACAACTAAAAGGTGTTACAGTTCCCCCAAAACTATTCTACGAACCTGGTATTGCAAAAACTACTCAGCCTGAGAGGGACAGAACACAAGGCACTCACCCAGTATCCGCAAGACGGCCGCGATCATCTTCTTTCCAGAGTTAGAACAAGACTGAATCAACGTCCGTCGTGCGAAATGGGATCCGTCTGTCTCACATTTCTTCCCTCCCAGTCTATACACTTTTTCTACAACATTTAAACATTTCTACAACTTTAAATTAAACTAAAACTAATTGTCTCTCATACACTACACTATCCCCCCAACAATTAAAGTTGGCCGACTAGGCCTGGGATTTACAAACATTGTTTACATTTAACAAATACATGTAGGATGTGGAACATTGTATAAATTCATTTTTTTCCACATCCTACATGTATTTGTTAAATGTAAACAATGTTTTAAATCCCAGGCCCTGAAGATGATCTCAATAAAGATCGAAACGTTGGCACGATAAAGAAAATGTTTTTCTGAAACCTACATCACACCAGGCCGCATCTCACGATTTCTGAATAATTATCGATTAACGGTCAATAACCACCACACATTTCTGAAGTTATTGATTTTGAATTGCTTAATTGACATCAAAACTACTAAAAGATTTAAGGGGTCTGGGTTTATTTATTTGTCCACATTGTACAGATGAAATAAATTTCTAGCGACTAAGGCAAATCCGTTTTCTATGAACAAGCCTTTAAATTTTTTATAATTACATGTCCGATTGTTAGTAAATAATTCCAGCTTTTAAATTAAATTTCCTTAAGCAGAAAAAGAAATCCCAAAAGAAAACAACGGTTCATTAGCGTTTGCACGTCTCGTAACTCGTGTACGGTACAAACGGCAAGGTCGAAATGGGTTTTAATTTAAAACGGATAGTAATCTTACAGCGGATTTCCTCCCTACAATTTCAAACAATTTAGTTTTAAAAAAACGATTTATCTGACCTCGAACAAATTTACTGGTCACATTTTAATTAGTGAAATTATATTTGACATATGTACGTCTTATTTGCATATTGGGATAATTCAACATTAACTGGGTTTTAGCTAGAAAAATAACTAGATTTTCAATTGTATAATAATTCACAAATGACATTGTTATAAGTCGGAAACATTTACGCTCAAGATTAATGCGCTTCGTTTAAAGTTCCGCGTTAATTTAAGTTTAGACGGTTACGTGATTTATTGGCACTCGTAAGAAAATATTAAATCCAATTATATTAACCGCCAAAACGAAATTATTAGATATGAAGAAGTCAAAATAGTTAAACTGCACCTGGAAAACACAATGTAAGAATAGTCTTTTTCTCTCTTTTTCGCATAAATAGCAAAAAATTAAAATAAATGAATAAAATACACTGACAGGCAAAAAATTCAAAAATTTCATGTCTATTGGCTCAAGTCCTGCCAGAAGGCAAGCAGCCTCAAAGGAATTTGAAACCTGAAGTTTTTTCGGAGGATCTACGGAAGTGGTCAACACAGAGAAAAACTTCCTTTCGGTTTTCGCCGAGCTTTCGACAGTTTTTATACTGTCATCTTCAGGGCTTAAACCTTAATGGGGAAATAAAAAGACATGGTGTTTTGGGCACAGAAGCACATTACGTTTTTTGGGGCTCAGCATCTCATAAAATTCTAAAAAAACTAGTAAAATCTTCCTTTCTTTGTTTTCAGGTACATGCGATCACAGTGTGTTTCTTATACATATATATGTAATTTATATAATTAACTTATCTTACAATTAAATTATTATAGAATAAGATCCCAGATCAAAAAAAAAACCTTTGTTCCTCTCGTCGAACAGGTTTTTTTTTGATCTGGGATCTTAATGTATAGTAATTTAAGATAAGTTAATTATATATATGTATAAGAAACACACTGTGATCACATGTACCTGAAAACAAAGAAAGGAAGATTTTACTAGTTTTACGTAATGTACTTCTGTGCCCAAAACACCATGTCTTTTTATTTCCCCATTAAGGTTTAAGCCCTGAAGATGACAGTATAAAAACTGTCGAAAGCTCGGCGAAAACCGAAAGGAAGTTTTCTCTGTGTTGACCTCTTCCGTAGATCCTCCGAAAAAAAAACTTCATGTTTCCAGCAGGTCGATAATCTAGCTCATCGTTGAACTTGAAACCTTTTATCATTCGGAGGGTTATTTTGCGATGGGCTGACTGCAGTTTCTTGGCATGACTTAATGAAAGCGCGGTTCATGCCTTCATCTCAAACAGGACGTATGACAAAATAGGTAGCACAACTCCTGAGCATGTTTTGTGTGTGTATGTGTGTGTGTGGAACTCACACACCCACCAAATTAGGTATTTTAGGGTAAATTGTGTTTAAGAATGAAAGGGGAGAGGCACTGGTGTAATATTAAATACCCAATGACTCCATAAATTTTATCTGTACATTTTGTATAAATGCTTTTTTTAGATTGAATGTGTATGTGTAGGCCTGTGGGTGAATGTAGATTACCCCACGATTTGACAACTGTTTTGAATAACATTTTGATATTTGCAATTATTACAGATTAAACTTTTAAACGAGTCAGTGAAACACAAAGAGAATCAAGATGCTCTTTTTGTTTACACTCATCGCTGGTACTGACAAATTATTACACCCATATATGTAAAAGGTTTTAGGTTGAAAATCGGGGTCTTGTTTTATGGAACACAGATTATTTTTTAATCTAAGACCTAAAACCAACGAAACGTGTGAAAGTGCTACCAATCATTTAGTCCATATGAGGTCAAAAATGATAATGTTTTCTTATGATGTACTTTTTGAGTCATTATTTAATTTATATATTAATTACTGGCTAGAATTATATAGACAAAATTAGGTTTTTCAAGGTGATCATTAGTTCTCAGCAGAATCTAGTTGATGTGGATATTAATATAATAAACTTTCTGCATAATAACAGCTATCGCCCTTGATTGAACCACCGCATTGTAGTTAAAAACCAAACTCTTTGTTCTGAATCAATTCAACTTTGCAATTATTCTAAAAGGATCCAATTTTTATCTAACGCCCTTGATATTTAGTTGGGCGGATTTCGACGCGGAAGAAAAGGAATGTTTACATCTAAGACACGTCTGTTTCTGGCCGGTGATCATGCGGTCGGTAGCGGTCCGGGATAATTTTTCGATTCGGTTTCGGCCCGGCCTAGAAAGTTTTTTTTTTTTGTAAGGGCAGAGTTCATCTTTTTGTTCGCGACAATCTCTGGCTAATCGGAGACCGGGTTTCCAAGGTGAATGCCCGGAAGTAAGCGGATTATCGTTCGAACAGTCAAGATTTCAACGGAGTCTCAATTGAAATGATTACTAGTATCTTCTGGTTGACGAATGGAGACAGAAAAAAGGCTGTTGTGGGATTTGGAGGTCACATTCAATATTTTCTCTTATAATCAGCAAAAATCCACATAAATATAACAAGATACTATATCTTTGACATAAAATCATAATGTATGTATGAATTTTATTGCATATATTTTTTTATTTATAGTTTTTTTTTAATTTGTATTCAATTGCACCTGTTCCATCTAGTCTGCATTCTATCTTAAAATTAATTAGTTTAGGAGAAAAATATATAAAAACTTCAAGGTATTATATAAAACAATAAACGTATTAGAGGCAAGTACATGATGTCTATTTGATATACAAGATCAGCAACGATCAAAAGCTGAATTAATTGTAAACTATTTTAGTTGAGAATGGTACTTAGGCTATCATACACTGACAGGCAAAAAATTCCACCCACTTGTCATATAATTTGAGTTGTATATATTTTTATACATTAATCAAAGTTTCAAGTTTTTTAACGTTTAATAATTCTATTACGTCTAAAAAAGTTAAAAATAAAATGTAAATTGCTAAGAAAAATGAGAAAAAAGACTGACAGATAAATTTTGTTTTAGATTTGTAATTAACATTTCAATATCACGTATTTCCTCCTCTTGCCTTAATCATCTCGAAGACGCCTCGGCATACTTTCTACCAGTCCTGAAATGCCTCTTTGCTGGAGGTTAGCCCATTCTTGACGAAGAGTCCTTTCAAGATCGTGGATTCTATCTGGAAGTGGACGTGCTCTTACTAGTGTTTTGATGGGGTCAATTTAACAAAAACACGTAGGATGTAGAAAACAGTGAATTTATACAATGGAAAAACATATTTTTTATATTCAATCAACACACACGCAAGAATGGCACAATTACGCAGAAAACAAACACTTAGGTAGAAATACTTTGATTGAAAATAAAAAAATATTTTTTTGCATTGTATAAATTCACTTTTTCCACCTCCTACATGTATTTGTTAAATTTAAACAATATTTGTAAATCCCAGGCCCTGAAGATGATCTCAGTAAAGACTGAAACGTTGGCACGATAAAGAAAATGTTTTTTTGAAACCTACACCACACCAGACCGCATCTTACGATTTCTGAATAATAAAAATAAATGAAGTAGAATGAAATAAATTCGTACACATTATATTATAATTCTGATATTTTATAAATGACAAAGAACTCAGCCCTAGATTAATCTGAATGACCAGAAATTTTAATAAATCAGTTATTATTGATGAGAAAGCTTTGAATGCACAAGAAACTTCATATCTTTCATTCACCAAAACAAGATTTTATATCCATGATCCGTAGCCGATTCAATAATATAATTTTCATGTCTTAGCTTATACTTTCTTTTAAGCAGGGACTTTTAAAATTGCCACTGAATCAGATTTTTTTAGGTAGTTCACATATTCTTCTTGTTAGATGTACAGAAGCAACAGAGACGTTATCGATGCCTGTACAAAGAAAATTTATTACTGTAAAAATGTTAAAACACATGTTTTAACGGTGACGGTTTTCTTCATTTATAATCAAAATTCAAAAATGTACACCTTCTAGAATAATTTGACTTAGGTTCATCTCCCCAGTAAGTACGTAAAGATAGTTACTCAAGAACTTAGTACTAGAATTTTTTGAACAGTTTATTAAAGTTTTATCCGTTAAGACGATCCGAAAGTGTTAAAATGGAAAAGTTAAGCTAGTTGTAAACTCGAGCCGAAATGGATATGGTTCACGGTTATCTTTACGGGTTTTCCATTTACAAAAAAGATGGTCGATTGTGACGGAAATAATTCGCTTAACGTTGAAGTTTATATACGAATGGCCAAGAGATACAGCTAACATTTAAAATACATGTTTATCTATATTTTACAAGGGCGACGCCGAGAATTGAACCGAGTACGGGAAACTTGACAGGAGAATCGGACATTCTTATCTCTCTCGGTCAACGCAGTCAATTTTTTAAATGCTTGGCCAATTAATAAAACAAAAGAAAAGAACATGACTCACTAAGAGATCATTTTTTACTTACAAGTTTGCTTAACAAAATATTTCACTCATTGCTATTTCAGTTATGCATTCCTTTACACTCTTCTCCCTTTTTTCTATTTTTTTTTGTTGTAAATTTTTGATCTGCTGACTCTAAATCTATATGACTATACTACCTACCTCTCCCTTTCCATAATACATCTTTCACACTCTTTTTCCTTGTTTTTTTTTTTTTTTTAATTTTTTATATCCTGACTCTAAATCTCTATCACTATATACCTCCCTCTCCATAATAAACCTTTCACACTCTTTCTTTTTTTTTAAAATTTTTTTATCTGCTGACTCTAAATCTCTAAAAAATCTGTCTATATCTGTATATATGTATATATCTGTCTAACTCTTCCTCTCCATAATAAATCTCTCACACTCTTCTTTTTTTATTTTTAAATTTTTTATCTGCTGACTCTAAATCAATATTACTATACTACCTAACTCTCCCTCTCCATAATACATCTTTCACACTCTTCTTCCTTTTTTCTTTTTTTTTAAATTTTTTTATCTCCTGACTTTAAATCTATATTACTATATATCGCCCTCTCCATAATAAATCTTTCACACTCTTGTTACTTTTTTCTTTTTTTTTTAATTTTTTTTTTATCTGCTGACTCTAAATCTCTATTACTATATATCTGTCTATCTCTCCTCTCCATAATAAATCTCTCACACTCTTCTTCTTTTTTTTCTTTTTAATTTTTTTATCTGCTAACTCTAAATCTCTATTACTATATATCTACCTCTCCCTCCGCACAATCAATCTCTCACACTTCTTTTTTTCTGTTTTATTTTTTGGTAAATTTTTTAACTGCTGACTAAATCTATATTACTATATAATATCTCCTCTCCATAGTAAATCTTTTGCACCCTTCTTTCTTGTTTTTCTTTTTTTAAATTTTTTATCTGCTCACGCTAAATCTCTATTACTATATATCTACCTCTGCCTCTCCATAATAAATTTTTCACACTCTTCTTTCTTTTTGTTCTTTTTTTAATTTTTTATCTGCTGACTTTAAATCCCTCACACTCTTCTGGATTTCTTCTGTTTATTATTTTTTGTAAATTTTATCTGCTGACACTAATTCTCTATTAGTATATATATGTCTGTCTCTACCTCTCCATAATAAATCTGTCACACTCTTTTTCCTTTCTTATGTATATTCTCCGCATTCTAATTGACTCACTATCTCTCTCTCTCTCTCTCTTTCTCTCTCTCTCTCTCTCTCTCTCTCTCTCTCTCTCTCTCTCTCTCTCTCTCTTTCTCTCTCTCTCTCCGACCAACCGGGATCACTTGTTGAAATAAATATCGGTTAGAATGTTGTTAATTTATTACCTTACTTATTTTGTATGTTACAAAGTTCTCTCTTGCAATATTAGTCTCTATCTTTCTATTTATCTATATATATATCCATCTTTCTATCTATCTGGCAATCTCATCCGTAATATCTCTTTTTTCACCTTCTCAATCTGTCAGTCGCTCTCCCTCATTTCTCCTCTCGTTCTCTGTCTCAATTTCTCTCACCTTCTATGATTATTTCCCTTAATACTTTTTCATTATCTCACTCTTTTTTAAAGTTGTCAGTTTTTTTAGTCTATTTGTCTTCCCCTCTTCCATGGTAATATTCTCCCACCTCTCTTTTATATTCTCTCAACCTGTCTGTCATTGTCCCACAAACTGTCTCTTATTTCTTGTCTCTTTCTTCGTCTCATTTTCACTTACCTTCTCTGACTTAATCCCTCACTACTTTCTCATTCTCTCCCTCTATTTTTAAGAGTTTTTTAAAGTCTATTTATCTTCCTCTCTTCCATAGTAATTCTCTTTCTATCTCTCTCTCTCTCTCATTCTCTCTATCTATCTATTTGTCTATCTATCTATCTACCTCTCTATTCCTCGTCTCTTCGTTTGTCTCATTTTCTCTCACTCTATAACTCAGTCATTCTTTCACAGTCTTCTTGTTTTCTGGCTCTTCTGCTCACTCTAATGCACTCAATATTGCATCTTCCTCTGACCTATTTCTCTTAACCTGTCTGCTACTCTACCTCTTTCCCTCCTTGATATTTTCTTACTGTCTTTCACCCTCTGGCTTTGTTTACCTAACTCATTCATTTTATCACCTAACTCTCTCCCATTTCTATTCTTAATTCTTTACTCCCAATCTACCTTCCATACTCCTCTCACTCTCTTTCTTAATTTGTTGTTCAATTTGTTGTTTTCGTTTGTCGTTGTAGAATATTTCATAAATGAAAAAGCTGGAAAATTTACTTAGGCAATTTATTCTGTTAGATACCGCTCGTCAGCCAGGTCTCATCGGAGCATGGGATGGCGCAGGATGCTGGAATCGCACGGTCGCAAGGTCTCCGGGACGAAGGTTTCGGGGACCCGTCCAGCGGCGAGCTCGACGTGCAGGTAGAAGACTTTGGAGAAGACGATACTATTTCCCAAAAAAGTTTCTACTCTTGCAAGTTCGACAACAAGTCATGCCAGACATTCACGGATTGTAAGAAGGTCGTGCCATCAATGCTCACGCACTCCGATGAGATATTTCCAATGTACAGCGCGTGGGAGTGTAAAACGGATTTGAGGTGAGGAGGGTAGGCGTTCTCGCAGTGACTTCCGACTTGACGTTCTTTATTTTCAGGTTGTTTCCGAGCGAATGCTGCAGAATTTGCCACGAACAGGAAGACGTCGAGTCTTTCATATCACCATGCTACTGCAGGGGAACGATGCTGCGCGTCCACAAGAGCTGCTTGGAAGCGTGGCTTGCGGAGAGTGACAGCCGCCACTGTGAGCTCTGTGGATTCGTCTTCAACTGCGTTCGCATACCCAAGTAAGTCTCCTGTTAACAAAAATCGGATTGACCCTTTCCAAAAACAACCCCGTTCAAATTACTAAGAGTTCATTCAAATTTGGAAACACTTTCTATATCAAAACAAAATACTGCTTGCAATTTTATAAATTTAATCTAAAAAAGCTCCGTTTTAAAACATATGTCGATGTGATCCAAGGCCGACTTCAAAAACTGATTCTTCTTGATATTTAGAAATAGAGAGGTAGTTTTTTTAATTTTTAAGTATATTGCAATGTCTGTTTATACAGCAAAACTAATTGCGATAGATAGCGCTCTCGATTACATACGCAAATTGGGTGATTCTAAATTTTGTATCCTCACAGACTGTCGAAGCATTGTAGAAAGGATAAATAACATTACCCCAGAATATAAATGCAGAAACTATATTTTTGCCCAAATCTGTAGGAAAATGCTTGAGGAAAAAAATCATGGGAAAAAGGGTGGCATTGTGTTGGGTGAAAGGGCATGTAGGCTTATGGCAAAATGAAACGGTGGACGCACTTGCAAAGGAGGCGGCAATATCAGGTCCAACCCTTGACATTAAAATTCCTAAAGATGACGGGAAAAACTTTTTGGAAAAGTTTTGTAGAAATCTGTGGCAAGAAAAATACAACGCATCAAATGTTGGCAATTATTACAGGTCATTGTTCCCTTAGCTCAAGAAAAAACTATGGTTTTCGGAAGGCGATAGCCCAGAAGGAATGTCAAAGGAGTTCTATTCTACTATTTTTAGACTGAAGACAAATCATGGCCTATGGGGTAGCTACAAGAAAAGAATCGGTTTGGCATCGTCTCCGAACTGCCCCACTCGCGATTGTCCTTCAAATCCTTCCCACATAATTTTTGAATGTCCAGAATACGAAAATGAAAGAGACAAACTGCTAAAAAATCTGAGCAAAGTCCCAAACATTTCCAAACTAATAAATTTAGAATCTGTCCTAATAAGCAAAAATCCATCAGCTTTCAACATAATCTATGGATTTCTAAAGTCGATAAACTTTTCTTTTTGATTATCTTCAACCATGAAAATTTAGAAGATGAGAAGATGATGGAGCTGAATGAGTGGGGACCTGGTCCTGGTCAGCCGATCCCGCTCGACAGTAAAATGAAAATAGAAAACTTCATGGGTAATATGCCAGCGTAAACCCCCCCCCCCAAAAAAAAAGCAAAAAAAAACATAATAATAATTGATCGGTTGGACCTTAGAGAGTAGACTTTTTCTTTTAGTATATTTATTTTATAATCAAATATATTGCAATACTCAAAAAAAAAGTATATTGCTAGAGTGTCACTCTTGTGTAAAATATGGATATATTATACATAAATAAATGAATTGTAACTCTGTGAAATTGTGGTATCCGATCAATCTGAAACTTCCAATAAACTCGATGGTCTTAGCTTGTTAGACGCTTTGTGACTTTTTGGCATCTGAAGTGGTACCTTGTAATCAATGTATTCATGCAATTGACAAACCGTGGTCGTTTCTTTCATCCTGCTCTCCTTTTTCTCTGGCTTGGTTTGTCAGACGCGTTTTGGTGTTTATGATAGTATTTCAACGAAATTATATGAACCCTAGTAGTGTTGGTGTTTTTGAAGAACGCCATTTGTAAATATGCCAGGTGATGTTTAACTAGCAGTGATGGGTCGCCGAGTCAACGCCTTAATCTTTACTGCTTAATGCAGGTGTGAAACCAATTCTTATTATTTTTAAGAGGTAGCTGCAGCTCTCCCAGTCCGCCAAAGTTTATCCAAAAACGACGGGACTGATGTAAAACTCCTGCTTATTGTACCGTGTACCATAGCAGCGTGTGGTGTATTATATGGTCGTCACCAGGCATCACCACGATTTCAAAAAACCTTTTTGTCTTTCAATCAACAGCTGAATATGCAACACCCTTCTATTAAATCCTCAACCGGGGAGCAAGCAGCTATCAGAAGCCACAAGGCTCGCACTCGCCGATCGTCTACACGACTCATTTTTTCTCGAGGTTGCAGCGGCGATTTTGGCCGAAGGTCGTGGGTTCCAATTCTGCACGTTACACTGACTTTTTCGTACCAACACCTTAGATAAAAAGAATAATTAAATGAAATAATATGGCCAATTATGAACGTAAAACATATATGGATTAATAAATCAATAAAGATGATTCGAACTGCGTCATATTCATGATCAATATTTAATTGGCATTTTCTTCATTGATCATTTGACTATTCAACAGATTGACTGCATTTGATCAAACTTGTCACAATTATTAACCTCTGGTATCTTTAACTTATAGCAAAATTTGGTTAAAATTTGCCTTGCTTAAAAGTGTGTTGCTTTGTCGCCTGAATAATGTACGCTGGTCACGACTGAGACCATTCAAACTTTCTTCGATATCTCGCTAAATTATTGACCGAAATTGTTTAAAATTTATATATTTGCCTTGAACACGGGTCCGAATATAATCAAGATTGGCCAAAGGGTTGAAGGAGCCGGAGAACACAGTACGATATATTTATACTACAAAGCAACACACTTTTAAGCATGACCGATTTCAATCAAACTTCACTCATGTATAAAGCACTTCTCGTTTGAAAAACCGGACAAATTTCGAGAGATTTTTTATGATACAAAGCATAAACTTCAAGTCTCACGATTGTACACGACCTGCAGACCAGCTTCCCGCAATACCGATATTAGAACATGGCATTATAGTTTATGAAGCTGGATGTGGATGTTGATATGCGAGTCCGTATACACATGCTGAATCTGCATTGGGTGTTTTATATATGCGGACAAGGTTGAACAGATCACAACAAAATATCTCAGTATGGGAAATCGTCTTATCAGTTTTAAATTATGCGGGGAACTAGACTGAGTAATTAACATAACGAAAGTTGTCTGCAGGCATTATTCTAGACACAAATATTTGTTCAACCTATTATAATATACCTTATATAAAGAAATTCACATTTGCACTCTACTGAGTCATGTTGTCGAAATCTATTTTAAGTGTTTTCATAAAGCAGCATAATAGGAGAGTGTAATATATCTGATATTGATTTCTATCAAATCATTATAATTGATTGACGGATTTATTTAGGTACAACCTGGTAGAATCGTTAGTAGCCTGGTTTTCCAATTCGGAATGCGACAGAGAAAGAAAGTTGCTGCTTTGCGATGTGTTCGTTATGGCTGGGCTCTCTCCAGTAATAGTCATATTCACATTCGTAGCCCTGAAACTCGTCGGTTCCGACATAGCCCTCGCTAACCAGGAAGACGAGAACGGCGAGGAGCATATGGAAAGCCACGTAAATATCTAAATATTTTATTAGTTCTTAGCAGATTTTTATTGTTCTATATCGTTAGATGACGCTGTTTGCATTGACCATAATGCTGCAGAGCGCGCTTTTGGGGATACTCTTCCTCGTCGACCTGAGTTTTGTATCATGGCTGCTCATGAGATGCGACCTGCACCTGAAAAACTGGTACAAATGGTACAGGAAGAAAAGCACGGTGATTTTACTGGACTTGCAAGGACCTAATGCGAATCGAAATTCAACTTAAAAATATACCTCATGGCAATTTTAAAATAAACAACAGAAATAAATTAATGCCGGGTGTTCTTTTTGGGTGTAAAATATTATCGATTTTCTGCCGGACTTTGGAAAGGTAGAAAAGAGGAAAGAGTTTTGATTCGGACGTCCTACGCCATTCACCGCATATATTATCGATTATGGTTCCCATATCGAATAAAAAAACCCTCAGAGTATCAGACTATAAAAAGCTGGTATAAATTTTACTGGGACATCTCTTTTAAATAACAGTTTCGGCAAAATGAAACATTTACATTAATTTATTCATCTTGTCGTCAATAAGGCCGGCATTATTTAAGTTTTATCGGCCTATAAAGACTATTTTTTTACTTAATTTTTTTTATCTCTTAATACCACGACAAAATAAACATCATTATTTCGAAGTGAAACTCCGGGGGATGATAATAAAACCGTTTACGGCCTAAGGACGGCTAACAGTCGGAAATGAAAGGTCGACGTGGAAGCGTTTCGTTCAGATTCCTTCATAGGTCGTTGAACAAGTTTGATTCTTTCCGGTGATAAATAATCAACTTCAATGGCACCTGGTTTCAAATAAAGCAATACTTCAAAAATTATGATTAATGCTATTTGTAGAGTTTTTTCCAGTTCCAAGGATCGATGATTATGCCATTTTAAGTGGATGATCTTATCCTTTTATGACAAATACGGATTCTGGATAATTAGTATGTTACAGCCTTTAATTGGTTCAATTCGTCTATATCTTTGATCAATGCAATCGGTTAAATTATAAGTTTTTTTACAAGCTCTGACAAGTTTTTTTTATGATAGAAAGCATAAACATATGGATAAACAAGACAAAAAATAAACTAATGGTTCCTTTTTTTAATTTATTAATAGAGCAACAATCTGCATGAAACTCAATAAATTATATAGATAACAAGATAATTCAAATTTAAAAAAAGTCTTCGAGTCGAAAAGCTATCCAGTAATAGCACTCCTAAATTGGAAATAATCACTCAATTAATCGCATTCTCTGAGAGCAGGTCACGAGGCCACTGCCGTTACAGACTTCGTAGAGGATTGCCGGGAAGACATCGGGAGGAAAGCAGTTGGTAATAAAGATACAAGGAAGCAGGGTTTGTGATCTTCAGGCACTGCAGCCTTTTTGCTTATTGTACCTTCCTAATTTCTTAGTTCAGTGCAATAAACTCAATCGTTCTTCTTAGAAGTATCAGGTCATTGACTGTCGTTGCTATAATTTCATTCCCTAAGTTTTTTCGTATGTTAGGTTAAATCTCCATTGAGCTGTTGCTTCGCATTCGAAGATGATATGAGTGGCTGTTTCCTCTTCCTCATTACATAATCTGCAGATGGGATCATCGTTATATATGCCCATGTTGTAGATGTTTTCTCAGATGGCAGTGACCCGTCAGTAGTCCTATGACTCCTCTCGTATGGTGTGGTATGGTGATAAGGATACTAGGAAGCAGGGTTTGTACTCCCCAGGCACTGCAGCCTTCTGGCTTATTGTACCTTCCTAGTTCCTTAGTTCAGCGCAATAGACTCTATCCTTCTCATTAGAAGTATCAGGTCATTGACTGTCGCTGCTACAATTTCATTCCCTAGATTTTTTCGTATGTGAGGTTGATTCTTCATTGAGCTGTTGCTTCGCAGTCGAAGATGACATGGGTGTGCTTTTCCTCCTCCTCATTAAATAATCTGCAGATGGGATCATCTTTGTTTATGCTCGTGTTGTGTAGATATTTTCTCAGATGCTAGTGGCCGGTTAGTAGTACCACTCCTCTGAGTTTAGCCCTATCTATTTGCAGTAATTTTTGCCAGTCTTGGTGCGGGTCGTTTCATCATAAGTTTTCTGTGTCTACCGCCGCTAAGTTTATCCACTTCTCCTTTTGTTTTGTTTGTATCCATTCTGCGATGGAGGATTCCATATTTCTTTTTGTTTTCCCAAGGATAGGTTCAAGTATGGTCTTGTAGATCCTTCTCTGGTCAAACTGTCTGATTTCTCGTTACCAAAATTCCTCTGTGCCCTGGCAGGAAAGCAGTTAGTTGCACGGGAGGTCAGAGTGAGATTGGAGGTTAGTGTAGAATTTTTACTGGATTTTACAACTCCTTTTAAAAAGGGAAGATTTACGTCATAATGGTTGATGTGGTTAAAAACATAGAACGGGGCGTTGACAATGGACCTAAAAATTCCTGATTGTAATGTCTGGATTCCGTGGAGATCTGAGGGTTTGGTTGTACCTCATAGTTCTATGTCGTTTGTCCATAATAGTTTCCAATCAGTATGGAGTTGTATATAAGTATTTTGTTGTCATGGGAGAGTTTAAATCTGTTGTTTAAGTAGTATTTTAAGTAATCAGTATCGTCGGTTCAGTTGTATCCTTTTACCGTCTTGTAATGGAATTTTAGATAAATCCCTAGGTAGCTCATAACGTTTGTGGGAGAGACATGATGTATAATAGATTAGTGATGAGACAGAGGGTTATTAAAAACATTATGTTTTGGGACTTTGTGATGTTTATATTGATTCGCAATTTTTTGAACCATTGTTCTATAGAATATGAACGGAATGTCTGGAGGGTTCGGTGTTAGGGATAGAATGACAGTGTCATCAGCGTTTGTTAGGCCAGGGGTGGCGGGACGGTACGTACGCCAGCAGATTATACTGTGAACATCAGCGGACCGAGAACACTACCCTGAGTGACTCCTCTGTCCCAGGGTAAGGATCCCCCATGCTCTTAAGTGCAAGTCGGTCAGGTAGGATTTAAGAAGGAGGTTGGGTGCAGACGGTAGGATGCCCTTGAATTTCTAGAGCAAACCAAGCTGCCTTGAAGAAAAACTCTCCGCATTCTTTCTTTTCGAGGGAGAATGCGATGATGTCGACAGTAGTTGAACGGTAGAACGATAACGCCTAAATTCAAATTGATGGAGATGGCCGGGAATTATTTTAGATGGGGTGTATTTGTTTATAAAGGAGTTTTTCAAGTAATTTACCAGGAATTATAAATACCAGTAAATTGATTGGACGGAAGGAATTCTGAAGGTTGTGGTTTGTTGGGTTTAGCGATGGTTAGGAAAACTACGGCTTTTTGGGGATTTTTCTAAGGATGGAAAGAGTAAAAAGATATTACATCTCCTTGATAAAATTCATTATGTCCCATCTACAATAATATAAAAATATTTAAAAATTGGCAAAAAGGAGGGAAAATTTGAAAGGTTGAAGGTTGAAATGGGGAGTTGGTGCCCGAGTGGATCGAAGTCACGATAGCTCAAGTGGTAGAGCAGCGGCGTATTTAGCCGAAGGTCGTGGGTTCGAACCCCGCTCGTGACACTAGCTTTTTAATTTCAATCAAACCTTACGTAAAAAGATTAATTAATAAAAAATATTACAGATTAAACTTTGAATCTGTTATCAAACTAGAATTCTAGTAGAAATTACACTCATGAATGACTTTTACTCTCTTCGGGATATTTATGCTTTCCATATTTTGCAAAAGTCATTTAAAGGTTTATTATTATAAACATTTAAATTGAGCGCAGAATTGCGTTCATGACCTGTATTATGCGTAGAATTTAAAATGAGAATTCTTTTGGTACGTTGGTTGTTTTTTTTTCTCCAGCGCAAATTTATCAACTAAGATCTTATCGAAATTGCCTTACGTAGGATGAATAAAACACGTCCTTATAGAGAAAGTTGTTTATATTTTGTATTTCGCTGATCCTCACGCAAGGCCGGGTTTTTTTTGCGAGAGGTTAAACCTTATGGATGAGCGAGGACGATTGGAGACTTACCTCCCTCAATTAACACTTAATAAGGATCCGCTCTTCCTGTTTCCGCTTGAATCGGCGAGCCGGAATGTTTTCGGAAATGCTATTCTATTGGTAACCCAATGTGTTTTTTTTTCTTTTTTTTTTTTCTTAGAGAAGGTTAATTTTATCATCATGCTTTAAAGTTAAACGACTTGAATTTATAAACAAATCCATTCGCTGTTTTGGTATGCGGGCTAATTAACCTAAGTTTTGGTGGTTTCATCCTGGTTCGTCTATTTTGTGTGTCAAACGTGTTTCGCCATTTTATAATCATCAGTGGACATACTGACACGACAAAACAAAAGAACAAAAGGTGAAACTCATTTGCGGGCCAGTGTGATCAGAAATTACCAAAATACATTAAAAAGCAAATCGGAAATCTATGGAAAGATTTCATACTTAAATTTAATTAAAGCTACCGGATTAGCTTAATGTTTATTTCAATTAGTTATTCGCAATGTAAATTCTTGGTTGAGATGAAAAAGTGAGCGTCACGAGCTGGATTCGAACCGACGACTTTCGGCTCAAAACGCGCTCCTCTAATCGCTTGAGCTATCGTGACTTGAAAAATGGCAAAAAAGAAGGAAAATTTGAAAGGTTGTAGGTTGAGACGGGAGTAGATGCCCGAGTGGATCGAAGTCACGATAGCTCAAGTGGTAAGAGCAGAGGTGTTTTGAACCGAAGGTCGCGGGTTCGAATCCCGCTCGTGACACCAACTTTTTCATCTCAACCAAGACCTTACATTAAAACTTTCTATAAAGTTAGTCTCGTTTTAAGATCTCAACTATTAAGTAAGCTGAACAGGAGGAAAATAGTACAAAATAGCAGGAGATAGTTGAATTACTAATGAATTATTAATAATGTCCACTTTACATCTGAGCGTCTGATAGCAAAAGCACACAGAACCGCTATGATCGAGGTTCATCAAGTTGTAATTTAATCAATTTGAGAGCTGCAAAAATATCGCAAAATTGATCATAAGTAAAGTAAAATATTTTCCCATTAACAAAATCATTTTTCAGTGATTATAAAGTATATTGCAGGTAGAATCAACCAATTAATTTGCATATAAATAACCACGGGTTTAAATATATAAAATGATTTGATCGGAAGTTTGACCTAACCATCCTTAACCAGCCGAAAGTCGTCGGTTCGAATCCCGCTCGTGTCGCTCACTTTTTCATCTCAACCAAGACTTTACAAAAAGAATAATTAATAGAAATAACTAATTTGTCAATTAGACCAGTAAACATAAATGGATTAATAATTAATGTTGACCTTTAAATCAGCTTGATGTTATTTTTTAATTGCTCCTACTGTTAAATAGGAAGGTGGCAGAGTTGTAAAACCATAGGCTCTGCCGGGATTCGAACCCAGGAAATAAGTCAGCCAAAGTGACCGCGTACCGAGTGTTAGAACGTCCGTCTCGATTTTGCCACGTCGGCGGTTCTGAGTTCGAATCCCGGCTGAGCTTATGGCTTTTTAATTGATAATAGTATGAAAAATGTTTTGTAAAGTGATTTGACCCCTCATCCGCGATACCCAACCGATAGTCGGACGTTAAGTCTTGTTTATGACATGAAAGTGCCACCTCCTGAATATGACTTAAAGTTCATGTTGTGGTTGTCAAGGTACAGCTGAGAAAAAAAAATAAGGCAAAACACAACCTGAAATTTTTTGATTCTGTGAGCTAGCTCATTCCCAGATCTGCTTGCGTTAAAACCTGCCTTAATAGTGTTAATCTCGCGTAAATCGAGAAATTTTCTTCCACAACTGAGATTTTTGGATCTAATAGCACAGTCTGAGATCTGCTAAGTCTAATATAAGACCAAATTTGTACATATCGCACACCCACAAGAAAAGTGACACAACAAAAGATAATTTTACAGGAGAAACAAACCGTCGTTTTTTTTTTTTACTTGTGTATTACGTACACGCCATTACGGTTGTTAACAATAAAAACTGGCTGCCTAACTACCCTAAAAAACTACCCCTTTTAACTCTCTCGTTCGTAACTCTTTTCTTGTATATATTGGCTTTCACTAATTTATTTTATTTGCTCTAACGATAGTGGTGGTCAATGACTGACTTTAAATGTGTTTTTATTATGTTGGTAACAGGTAACATACAAACCTAACAACGAGCATAAATATCCATGTAGTAAGGTTTACTAAGATTATTTTGGACCAAATGTGCTTTCTTCATGGGGTTAGGGCTAATTAGTTATTTAAAATACAAAATTATTCATTATTGAAAATTGTCTAATTAAAACATTAAAAAAATCGTCGAAACTATAAAATAGTTATTCGGAGATCGTGAGATGGGGTCTGGTTTTGGATGAAAAACTTTTTCTTTATATTTATTGGACACGCTCAACACGACACACAAGAATGACACATCTACACGGAAAACAAACACTTTGAGCCCTGAAGATGATCTCAATAAAGATCGAAACGTTGGCACGAGAAAGAAAATGTTTTTGTAAAACCTACGTCACACCAGACAGCACCTCACGTTCTCCGAATAATCATTGGCTAACGGTCACTAAACACCACACATTTATATAAAATAGTGTAAAAGTTAAAAGACAACATTGTTAAAAAAATATGAAAAAACAATATTATAATTAAGTTCACTAATTTCGTGGTCCGCTTGACCAATGAATATAATAAGATTAATTAAGGTTTTTAGTTGAGATAAAAAAGTCAATGGCACGAGCGGGATTCGAACCCACAATCATCGGCTAGATACGCCGCTGCTCGACCACTTGAGCTATCGTGACCTCGATCCACTAGGACATCAACTTCCCATCCCAACCCCACCTTTTGAGTTTTCCCTCCTTTTTGCCATTTATTTATAATTAAGAATGTTATTAAAATAAAATAAATAAAACTGAAATAATACACGAACTCTAGATCAATGTATGATTTTAAAGGAATAAGCAAATTCAGTTGTTATTGCCGAGCTTTTGACCTATTTTCATGTCATCAGCAGAGCGTAATTTATTTATTTTTATGCTTATTAATTTATGCTCATGTTTTGGGCTTGTACAGTAAATGCCCTATCCGGTTCCTTCGTGTGGTTTGGAGCCATCTGTATACCATATCATCGTGTCTGATGCTCTCCTGTGTTCTTCCTCTCCTTTACAGACCGTTGAGACTTTGCAGGATGTGAAGATTGTTTCCGGGATCATATAGTCAGTCCCGATTTCAAAGAATGGGTGTCTGATTTTGTTGACTATGGTTGTATGCCTGAATTGTTTAGTACCTATCCAATTTAATTGTTTTTGAAGCCTAAATGAGCTTTTCCTAGCCTCTACCTTTATAAATATTTCCAGTGGAGGTAGGTTTAGCAGAGTTTCTAGAGCACTTGTACGGGTTGTTCTCATTGCCCCTGTGATACATACCTTTGCTAGTCTTTGTATGCTGCCTAATGTTTGAGTAGCTACTTTTTGTTGAGCTTTGGTCTTCCAGATTAATGATCCATAGATTATTTTGGGTCTTACTGCCGTGCATAGCCTATATACATAATTCCTGGCAATAATCAAAATGTTTTCAATATCCGAAATTATGTTCGGGATGGAATTATGTTTAAAAGTTGCTGGAAGGTTAAATTTAGGTCCTGGGGTTTCTTGTAATAATGTACTTCGGTTACTTTTGTTTATTATCAGAGACTTGATTTTATCAGCACTCGTATATTTATGAGGTGTACATTAAGACTTCCCTTGACTTTTATCTGCTTTTCCTGCGCATGCCGGCACTTGTGTCGGATTTCGACATGAATCGCACCCACGAGATTTTAATTCGTAATTTGATCCCAATGAAAGATTAGCCTTCACCTTTGAGATTTGTTTATTTATCTCTTTGCCTAGCTGAAGAAACATCGGATTAAGTCGGAAACTTATGATTGTTTAAACAACATTGCGAGACCAAAAATTTAATCACAAAAAAACCATCATCAGAACTATTATAATGAAAAGTGATATAAAAAATCAGCACATTAGCACCTTTGTTTCTATTTGCGGCAGAAGTTGTTGGTTTTCATCTTGTGGATCCAGTCAACACTTAAAAAAACCTGTGCAGTTGTCAAACGTTATCTTGAAAAATATATTTGATGATAAATATTAAGTAAATTTATCCTCTTCACCTATTGTTTACATGCTTGAGTCTGTTTTTCTCATACTTAGTAATTTATTTGTTTTTGTCTGTTTTAATATGAGATAATATATCTTACGGGGAGAAAAGCTACTATAGTTTGTATATAGTTCACAATTTAATTGAACAATAATTTTTTAATGCGCTTTCGTCATTAATTACGACAGAGATAAGGTGATATCGCCATGTTCTTTCTTTTTCACAGGTGTAACGTGTTTTTTTATCTCTTTTATTAATAGCAGCTGGTTTGCTGTAATTGCAAACGTAATAAACGTAATTCCCCTACTGTGCGCAGAGCTTAATGTTTAAGCCTTGTCATTATGCACGTGATTTATCAAGACGTATGTAGGTCTTGGGTTCAACGTTGATCGCTGATAAAAGTTCATCAGCTCAAAAACCGCTTAGAAAAATTTCATTATAACAACGGTATATTATCTCTCGAACACTGTCAGCGGGTGGGCTTATAGAAAAATTATAAATACGCTAAGGTAAAAATTTTGAATTCTCTCGCGCTTTATCTATGTTAAAGAAACCCAAAAAATAAAATTGAATTAAGTCATATATATCGTATAAATTACTGATTGGTTTCTATAAGCTCAACTCCGCACATAAATGTGCATAGAATTGAAGTTCGGGTCTCATCTGTTTCACCGAGAAAGTTAACCTCAAAAGGCAGTCATTTCAGCGTCCACGCAGTTTATAAACATAGTCACACTCTCACTCATTCTTATTCTTATATAGATTCTTACTTAGAAAAGAAATGGTGGACTGAGTGTGTTGTTCAATCTTTTTAACAAGATAGTTCCGACTCGCAGTAAGTTGTTTTCAACGATTTCGAGCATACAGCTCATCATCAGGTTGTAGAGCTCCTTCAACCTGATGATGAGCTGTAGGCTCGAAATCCGGATCGTTGAAAACAACTTATTGTATGTAGGAACTATCTTTTTAAAAAGATTCATCCTTACTTATTTACATACTAATCACTTAAGTACGGTGGTGAAGTACTCTACATTTTTCTATCAGCTTTTAAATTTAAGAATTGAGTATGTGTACCGTGACCAATATTAGTCTATTGTGCAATCTTCATTATTATCTAAAGCTCTCCGTTAAGCTTAATACTTTTTTATCAGATCCCTAAACTTTGTTAAGCACACTTCCGTGTGTTTCCTTCAGGCCTGGGCTTTCCCTTTCCCAGGAGGGTCCAACTGATGTTCCGCTGTATCTTCTTCCTGGCAATATATGCCCGTGCTTGTTTCTGCTGCTATGACAATTATTTTATACACACTATGTCAAGGTTAAATTGGTTGTTGTCCTCCAACAGGTTTCGTCTTTTATGCCTTGGCTGTCCGAGTAGATAGCAAATGAGCTGAAAGTGTACTAATCGAACTTTCCTTGGCCAATTTATGAGGGACTGCGTGTTGCCTCTCTGCTCTGTATGCCCTGCGGTGTACAAGGTTGATTGTATTATTGTCCCCAATGGCCGACTAGAACTTAATGTCCAAAACGGGTCGGGACTTTACACCATTGAGTTCTTCATCCTGCTATCATTCTCCTAGTA